CTAAAATCTTAATTTCATTATTTAAGAAAATGAGTACTTTACATTAATAATTACAATCAAATTGCTACTTTAAAACGATCAGAGCATATTCAATTTTAAAATCCTATAACTACATGCCAACTAACTTTATAAACAAAATACATATGTTCAATATGTTTCTGATCTGATTCTCGTAAGAAAAATACTGACCTGTCTTTCTCCTTGTTACTTCCATTCTCGCTTCTCATACCTACGTGTGAAACATTCACACGTTAAGTCTATGACTTAGTGAGGCATTAACGTATAAAAGTAACCCTAACTACTTAAACATGCATGTACATATCATCTCATGCTATTACATACAACAATATAATTTCATATATATTCAACTGTACACATATACACATCATTCATCATTTCCATCGTTAATCTTATTCTATTATTCATATTATTATCATTTATATGCTTTAATCATTCCTTCTTATACCTAACCTTTTTATCAACATATGACTCCTTCAAACCATATACACATCATCATATCAATAATATAATACAATTCATATCACCAAAAATCACACATAACATCCCATAATCTTTGTAATTCAATTTTCATAACATATCACTCATACACATATCACGTACAATATATTTATTTTATTTCTTTATTAGCTCATGTATATTTTTGAGAACTTAAGATATGTGAGTACATTGAGGTTGTGCACCACTATGTTGTCACCACAGCTCGTATAAATGTCCCGAATGACCTATCCAGAGGTCATAAAGAACCTCGGAAACTGTTCATAGGTCCCAAAGAACATATGTAAACTGTCCATATGTTCCTTAGAACATAGGTATACTGTTCATATATTCCGAAAGACATAGGTGATTCTGTAAATATGTTCCGTAGAACATAGGTAAACCCTTGACTCTTGGCATGCCAACTATACCCCTAGCTCTCATATCACATAACATGGACATTAACACTATATCATTTCACATAATCTTATCACATAGGCACATAGCTTCTTATCACATTTCATATGATCACATATACCTTTTCTCATATTCTTGTCATTCATAATCACATATACATGTGCTCATATAATTTATCATTTTCATATAAACATATGGTTCATTTTCACATATCCTTGTAATCACATAGCTTATTTTTCACGTAATTCATATCAAATTTCATAAGATTTTATATTCATATATCACATAGAACTCATAACCTTTCTTGTGTAATCACTTATATCTTATTATATCGCTTACCCTTAGGTTACCTTATGTGTATATGTATTATATAATTCTTTAGCTCATAGCGTATGTCACATGTTCATAACATTTCTTATGTCCTTATCATACCTCTTAGATAATCATATAGATCATTTTCACTATTTCACATAACTTCTCACACTAACATGTATTTTCACAAATCATGCAACATATACAATAACATGTCACCACATCGACTCATACACACATATGAACCATAACAAATACATACTTCTATCTAGGAATTTCTGTATTTTACTATTGGAAATAGACTTGTCGCAAGTCTTATTTCCCATTAAACATCATATACTAAGTAATGTGCACTCACCTTGGCCTCATTAAGTTCCAATCCCATTTTATGATTCATTTCTTTTGATCGAATCTTAACTTGATAATCGTTCCAGAACTTATTCGTGCTCGATATCTATATAATCATGCATTGATACATATCAGTATCCAATTGATATATTCTAATCTATCATTTCTTAGACCAAAAGAAAGGCCCAATTCTATTTTTCCTTGAAGTGCATCGGTACATTCTACAGTGTATCGATGCATCCCTTAACATGTGTATCGATGCACTACCCCATGCATCGATACACAATTTACATTCGATTTTTTCCTTTTAAGAGGTGTATCGATGCACTCCCTATGCATCGATGCACTCATTGCATTTGATGTTCATTTATTTGAGAGTGCATCGGTACACAATGAATGTGCATCGATGCACACAACCCAGAAATTCCAATTAGAGCACGAAATTCACTTTCTTTTTAGCTCAACTCTTCATATTTCATCCCCTTTTATATTCTTAACTCAGATACACATATTCAAACTCATTTCTATTCATTAATCACCTCTTTAACATCAAAATCCTATTCTCCATATGTAATTCAAGAATTACACTAAATTTTCAACATGTTCCAAATTTAATTCTATTGTTTCTAACTTCTTAATTAGACCCTTGACAAGTCAAATTGCATTTGGAAATCCCATAAATGTCTTTCTACCAAGATTTCATTTATTCATTTCCTTCCTTTAATCATTTCTATAACTTTCCTCTTATTGTTTTATGACAAATTAAGCTTCCCTTAAGCTTAAGAGTCACTTGATAATCAAAACCAAACTTAAAATTCAACAAGAAATCAATTAACTAGAAACTCACATTTGCTCTTGGCTTCTACGTGAAAAAGAAAAAAAGAGAAGAAGAGAAATCTGGAGAAATCTCTCTCTTTCCACGTAGTTCCCTTATCTTATAAAGGAAAATAAAAATCATACTTGTCAATTGCCCATTTTACCCTTTAATTCATTCAATAATTACTAAACAACCTTCAACTATATTTCAAATAAGTCATTAAACTATTTAACTATTCTACTTTATCACCAAATTTAAAAAATTCTCATTTTAGTCACTGACCCGGATTTCAAGATGTTACAATAGATTTAGCACCGATCAAGCTGGTAATTCCTAATGGACCTAAGACGACCCTTGGCTGGGCTCTTGGGCCTAATGGGCCTAGTGGTAAAACCTTATGGACCCTAAAGTACTCCTTAAGGTGACTTATCTGCTATGTGCATTGGGTAAGTCCTTATGGGCCTTAGGGCACACCCCTCAGGTGGGCACCTACGCTTCGTCGAGGATAAGACCTTATGGACCCAAGGTGCTCTCTTAGGTTGGCACCTACGCCCTTTGGGCCTAAGGTAAGTCCTAATGGATGCAGTTCTGGGGAACTGCATATGGTGTACGGTTGGAGGGTTGTTATGTATTTTAAACTATAACTCTACTATCGTTTTCATAACTTTGATAATGAACCGATTTTGAAACTTAACTATATGTTTTATTTTGCACTACTGGAACACACTAAGCTCACTCCCCCAAACTTTCCCCTTTCAGATACTTTTTTATAGGCGACTCAGACCTGACACTTGGAGGATCGGCATATTCGTACATGATTATTTTGTTATAATGTTTTTATCTTCCGAGTTGTATTTATTTTGGGTGACATGTGCCTATATTTTTAATATACTTGTTTTACGACGTATGTTGCTTTTGTTACTGATGTTAGATTTGCTTCGATACTGATTATGGAATATTTTATTCAGTCCTTACAACTTTAATTGTTGGAATTGAACTTTAATGTTATCAACTATATTTTTAAAAATGTTTATTGGTAATATGATTTTAAACTATTGAAAAATGTTTTGGAAATTTTTTATTTTAATATGCTAAATCTGGTTGTAACGCATAGGCCGGGTCTAGAAGATTATAAGCATAGTGTTGAATCTACATTGCAATAATTTGAGAAAAGGAGATCCAATTCATATTTGAATACTGAAGGGAAATGGTGCATTTTAATAATGTCAGAGCGTTGCCATCTCACTCTAGCCACAGATTCATCCTCCAATATAATCTGATTGAATGACTCCGGTCAATTATAGGCAAAAACTCATATAACATAGAGAGTCTAAGTAAAAGTGAAAACCTATCCTAAAGGATTCAAAACTCTAAGGGTGAAAATTTGGTATCCGTTTCTTAATCGTGAACCTCTTCAACAAATTGGAAAGAATGCAATCCTATGACTACACAAACTTGCATTGCTTGCACAATATCATATGCCCTGCCAAGAAAATGGAAGTTAACAAACCTGTGAACTTAAGCATGTGAGTCTGAGTTTCCCTCAGTGTATATGATATCAGACGTGGTAGTGAAAAATACAAACAAAGATCTCATGAGCACACCACTCTTGGTAACAAGATAGTCTCCAAGTTTTGCATAACCAACTGGCAATTCTTGTGTATAACTAAGATTATAGAATTCCTTGGTCTGAAAATTATAAAGATAACCTTGACCAGGCTGAGGCTGATGCAATAAACTATTCATCATAATAGTGTCATGCCCAACAAATTTATTAATGAGAAGTTTCTGCCACATGTTCCCAAAAAAGGGGTGTCGAGCTGATATGCTGATATTAATAGTACGTATGTTATGTTGAGACTTAGCCGTTTCAGACAACAGGAATTAACTCTTTTCCAATTAATAGAGATAAGTTGCTTCAAATGCTTTACTTCTTTTCTCAAGCCATATGAATTAAGCTTGTTGAAGTGTAGTATATGCAACCATTTAGGGACATCAAGATTTAGATGTAAACTTGTTATATTCAACAACTTATGGAAACTTCTTTTTCCATTGTTTTGTACATAGGTATTTTGTTATAACAAAGGAATCGTGGAAAATAAAATGATGGCAAGAAAAGAGCAGCTTTCAGTTCTGCCAGGTTTCCGATTTCACCCAACAGATGAAGAGCTATTCTACTATTACCTGAGGAAGAAGGTCTCTTATAAAGCTATCAACTTGGATGTTATAAGGGAAGTAGATCTCAACAAAATTGAGCCTTGGGATCTCACAAGTCAGTTCATGTTATTGGTCATCTCTAAGTGATAACCTCTGCAAACATTAGTAGTTATTTGCAAAATGATGAAAGACAAAGAAGAGAGAAAAATGTGGAAAAGGAGAGAGGGATTTATTAAAGAAATATTTTTTTGAAGTCAAAGTATGGTCAATGTGGTTATAAAGTGCTACATATCATTATGTTATCTTCATTATCGGTGAATGATCGATTTATTATAAATCGGTAACGTTAATGATTAATTCGTTAGTTTTGAAACTTAGTGAAAAAAAAAACCTACTCAAATATAAGTGACCATTTTTGTAGTTTATCCGAAAAATATTTCCGCACCGTCCAGCCAAAAATGTCCCAAAAACCACCAATTTCAAGACCCGCGCTTTCTCGGCCCACCCCGCCCTTTTTCATCTCTGTACTCCCATTCCTGATCTCTACACAGCCAGACCGGAGTGAAAAACAAAAAGGAAATCAAAGTTAAAATTGAAGTTCCAATGAAGCGCGTCTTCGAGGAAATCTCAGACGAAGAATGGGAGAATCACTCTTTCAAGCCTTCTCGTGTTTTAAGGAAAAACCCTGACCACCCTCCTCCAATTGAATCTTTCGCTTTCAATTCCCTAGCTCAGCCTACTCTTTCCGACCAAAGCAGCGACGATTGCGTCGAGGTACAACATTTGGACGGTGATTCCAACTTGGAAGACTACGATGTTGAGCCCGATGATACCGGCCCGGTCAACCGTGCCCGTCGATTCATCGTTGACGACGACGACGACGAAGGAGATGATGATGACGATGTAAATGACGGCGATGAGAATGGTTTCGAGGAGGTGTATGATGTTGAGTCGAGTGAAGAGGAATTGCAAGAGGATGATGTGGTGGGGAAGGCGTTGCAGAAGTGTGCGAAAATATCGGCGGAGTTACGGAAGGAGCTGTACGGGAGTTCCGGTGCCTCTTGCGAACGATACGCCGAAGTAGAAGCTTCATCTGTGAGAATCGTTACGCAGGTATTCAAAGAAACGCTTTAGGCATTCTATTTTTTCTGTTTGGTTACTGAGGAAATTAAGCCAGGAAGGCTGTATTCACTTGAATTCTTATAATCTTTTTAACTAGAAATCTTTATGATGTTGCAAAAATTATAGTGAGTTCGGGTGAGCTAAATTTGGCAATTTGTGATTATTATTTTTGTCTAAGTTTTGGTTTAATTAGAATGACCAAATGCTGCAAATTGATGGTGCTTGAAATTTTACTTTGATGTTTATTTTGGTGGATCTAGTTACTTTTAGACTCTACATGACAAAATTTGGGAATATATCCAATGCATTATCTTTCAACATCAACTTTGTTGTTTATAGATAGATTTGTCTGTAAATTAGAATATTTCTTGCTCTTGCAGAATGATATTGATATAGCATGTGGGGTGGTGGATTCGAATTTCCAGCCAATTCTCAAGCCATATCAACTGGTTGGTGTAAATTTTCTTCTTCTGTTGCATCAGCAGGGTATTGGTGGAGGTACTTGTTCTAATCTTTTGGCATCATTTTTGGGCTTTGGATTTTATATTTCTGGGGTTTTTCTTTCTTTCTTGACGTTGTAGTGTTGTATCTAGAACAAGAAGCTGTAATTGTTTGTGGGGATTTGATAAGTTAATGGGCACATTCAATATAATACCTGAGAAACAAGAAGACTTTTTTATTTAAACCTAAAAATGTTCTGCTCTCTCGTAAGTGTTGCTATCATCATTCATGCTTCAAGTCCCTCTGGAGATTGTTAATTTTAATTGGGTGATTAAAAGTTAAAATGAAGAAATGAGAAATAAAGTTCATCACTATGGGTTGTATTATTGATTATTCTGTTTCTTAATAATCGTATTAATCTTTGTCAATCACTTGCTAGAAATGTATCAATAGTTTTCGTGGGAAAGGAAGAAGGTAAGATCCTTGAGTGATGGTAGCTTACTGGAATTAGATACTCTGAAGGTTTAATATTATTAACTTCTGAGGGAATGATTTTGAACTTGTCAAGTTTAAGACAGACCATGAAGAAGATCCATTGAGATTTTTACTTATTTCAATTAGATTCCAATTTGATAAGAAGACAGTGACAAGAATTTGTCAGGGTTGCTGAATCAGATTTTGAATTGACCAAACATGGAATGTTTGTTTCTTTTTCCTTTACGATGCCATGAACTGGTGTTAATACTTATATATTTTCCAATTTTCTTGTTGCCTTATGAGTGCAACCTCTATTACATGTTGGTGCCTTGTTTTCTAGATATTTTTCTCTAAGAATTTTTTATGCTGATTGTTAGATCGCTGTTGATTTTATTCAATTACGTAATTATTTTGCACTTCCTTTGACTTCAATTATTTTATTATTATTATTTATTTGTCTTTGTTCCCCAAGTTATTTGATGCTGCCTCTAGGGGCAGTCATTTGACCAAGTATTTACGTATGGAAGTATTATAGTTAGTAATTTAAGGCTCAACGTAAATATGCGTTTATTTATATTATATATATGTATTTATGTTTTAGATCACTGGCACAATTTAGATGGATTAATTTTAACTTTTCTGTCCATGGGCAGCTATATTGGCAGATGAGATGGGTCTTGGGAAAACCATTCAGGTATTTGAACTCTAATCTCTTGCCTTCGATAATCCTATCTGTATTTTGTTTGTCTAACTAAATTGCTTTTCTCTACAGGCTATTACATATCTGACTTTGCTGAATCATCTGAAAAATGATCCTGGTCCTCATTTAATAGTTTGCCCTGCATCACTTTTGGAAAACTGGGAAAGAGAACTTAAGAAGTGGTGCCCCTCATTTTCCGTACTACAATATCATGGTGCTGGACGAGCAGCTTACTCAAAAGAGTTGAGTTCTTTGTCCAAAGCTGGATTACCACCTCCATTTAATGTTCTTCTTGTGTGTTATTCACTTTTTGAAAGACACAGGTATACACTGTTGTTAACTGGGTTTTTATGTATGTGTTCTATTCTGTCTTCCGTCTCTGTGTCTGTTTGGCTTTTTTATTAGCGGTTTCCTCAGTGTGCAGCAGAAGGATGATCGGAAAATTTTGAAACGTTGGCATTGGAGTTGTGTTCTAATGGATGAGGCCCATGCTTTGAAGGACAAGAACAGCTATAGGTGGAAAAATTTAATGTCAGTTGCTCGAAATGCAAAGCAGCGTCTTATGCTAACAGGAACACGCTGCAAAATGATTACATGTACTATTAGTGTTACCTTACCTCCATCTCAATAATTCTAAAATCTGAAAGTATTTAAGTAAATAATGGTTGCAGAGAATTGTGGTCTGACGGTGTTGCGTGTAAGTGATATGGTTCATGCATAACAGCTACTCGGTAGAAGTTAAATTTAGTGCTGAAGCATTAAATTTGATCAATTAAAAACTACAGTCTTTAATGAACTTGATTTTTTCGGATAAATTTAGTGATGGAAAAAGAAAAGAAATCCTTATCCGTGGGAAGTGTGCATTATGACAACTGTGTTTCAACGCAATGAATCATGCACTAAAATTATTTTTTTCATAACAAAGTCTTTCATCTCTTAATATTTCATATATTTTTCTTGCTGTCAATGGAAACTCAAGTTTATTTTTTGTAAGAACTGTGTCCCGTGATTATAACAGCTAGCTTAAATTTTTATTACTATAAATACCGTTGGTATAAGAAGCATTAGAAAATATTTTTTTAACATTCTTCTGAGTCTTCAACATGTTACATTGTTGTTGCTGAGTGGCTAGTGTTTTTCTTGCAGGAGCTGTGGTCTATGCTAGAGTTCATGATGCCTGACCTTTTTGCCACTGAGGATGTAGACTTGAAGAAGCTACTAAATGCAGAAGATAGGGAGTTAATTGGCCGTATGAAGTCCATTTTGGGACCATTCATCTTGAGGCGTTTGAAATCAGATGTGATGCAGCAGCTTGTCCCAAAGATACAACAGGTAGATGCTTCCTTACTCTTATGGTTTTAACAAGATAAGTGATTTTTTTTCCTAAGAGGAAATTTGATTTGAAAATTCCTTTCACTTTTAAGGAGTTTAAGCATCACTTCTGCAGGTTCAATATGTAATCATGGAAAAGCAACAAGAAAATGCTTATAGGGAAGCTATAGAAGAGTATCGTACAATTTCACGAGCACAAATTGCTAAGTTATCAGAATCTGACTTGAATAATATCGTTGGAATTATTCCTCGACGTCAGATCTCTAACTATTTTGTTCAGTTTCGCAAGGTGCTTGATTTATATTCTTTTTTTCTCCTCTACATGCAATTAATTTGAAAAGGATCCACCAGTTCTTAAGCCTAATTTCTTTGTTTTGAACTAATTTAGATTGCAAATCATCCATTATTAGTGAGGCGGATTTACAATGATGATGATGTTGTTTGCTTTGCCAAAAGGTTACATTCAATGGGTGTTTATGAATGTACCTTGGGCAGAGTAGTTGAGGAATTGAAGAATTACAGTGACTTCTCCATTCATCAGGTAATTCTTTCTATGAAGTTTTGTTTATTCTTTTAACATTCATCTGGTAGTTTTTCATGTAATTCATCAGGTAATACTTGCTACAATTGCCATTTGTGAGATTTGTATGATCGATCTTTGATTGCATTCATTCTTAACAGTCAGAATATTTATATCAAATCAAAATTTATTACTTATGAAGACATTAACTGAGATATTTGAAATATTTTAGGAGTGGCAATGGAATTGATAAAGTTGAAAAAGAAGATAGATTAGGATTAACAAGGGAGATCTGTAAAAGGATTAGGATATCTATAAACTATTGGGATTGAGTTAGGTTGTTGTCGCTTTTTTTGCATTGCCATGGTTCTGTAAATTGCTCGTCTTGAATACTCTATGATTAGTTTCCTTTTCTACAATTAACCTTATTTTTCCAATAGTTGTGAAGAGTTTTTAAGTTGTTTGTAGTAAGATTACGCATTCAGATTGATCCAACCTAAAAGGTCAAATTCTGACGTGATCACATGAGTGCTTGAAATAGGTTTTAACTTCCCACAAGTTCTCTTTGTACAAGTTTGTTGGTTTTGAAACTGTTCACCGCATCTGAGCCCATTATTGACCTATATACTCTAAAATTAAGTTGTTTTTCTATGTGAGTGCTCGAGAATGTGTCTTTAAATCTCTGAAAATTTCAACAACGGTTTAGGTTAATGTTGTACCTGTTGTACTAGTTCTTGAGGTGCCTCTGCTCTAAGTTCGTTACAGATTTATTTAGTATTCCAATTTGGGAGCTCTTTTTTCTTTTGAGCCAAATGTAGAATCAGGAACAGATCAATTGCCAAAATTGTAGGTTTGTGAATTGTACCTTGTGCTATTCATCACAGCCTAGCCTGGTCATCCATAGATATGTTTTGCCATGCATATCTTGTTGAGCATGCCAATACCTACTTATTTGTAAAAGGTAATTAGAAACTTAGTTCTAATTACGACATCGATAATAAGTAAGCAAAGGTGGAAATAAAACGCATACCTTATTTGTGAAGCTTTCTTTTGGATGTTTGGTTATAAATTCAATGAAGTCCAGTTGTTGTGTTTGTTTGAATTCTAACCAGACCCTAGTGAATCTAATAAACTACAAAGTGTTGTTGTATTGATTAACCATCTTTGAGGCAATTTCCCAAAATCACTCATTTCAAACATTAATTTTGATAGCAAACTATCACACTGAATTTTGAAGATTCTAATTAATCTTTCTACCTAATAATGAGACTCGATTCTTTCATTCTGTTCCCTCCCTTTATTATTGAATGCTTTTAGGTTTTACATGCCAATATTCTAATTTTGCTATGTTTTAATTTGATAATGCCTTTATTTTTCAATCAAGATACTTAGGTAGGTACAACCATCACCGCTCATTGTTGAACTTCTCTTTCCAAATAGAATTTTAGTCCATTTCTATACAAATGGATCAATAAATGTGTGTACATTTAATATCACTTCCCCTTCTATGTGCTGCAGTTAATGTCATTGATATATTATTTTGGGCTCAACCTTTATGCATGCATTTCCATTCTTCTTCTCTGCGTAATGACCAGGGTTTAGTCGGAAGCTTATGATGAGAAGGCTTTTTGCATGTTTGAATCTATTTCTGACCTAAATTGCATATTCTTTCGGTTCTAGTTTTGGCATTACAATTTCTTTGAACATCCTTATTACAGCTTTTACTTCGTTATGGAATTACTGGTGGTAAAGGAACTCTTTCGGATGAACATGTTATGCTTTCTGCTAAATGCCAGGTATCTTTTAATTTCTTTTTCTATTTTCATCATAACATCAGTTACATTTATTTGCATTTCCTTTGGTGCCAGACATTAGCAGAGCTTCTCCCTTCACTCAAGAGAACTGGGCATCGGGTTCTGATTTTTAGCCAGTGGACGTCAATGCTTGATATCTTAGAGTGGACTTTAGATGTGATTGGGGTTACATATAGACGGCTCGATGGAAGGTGTTGGTTTACATTCTGCTCTGTTTGGACTTTTCATTTTCATTCCTATGGCTAAAAGTTAGGGTGTTCTATTTTCCAAGTCTAATTCCATTTTTTTCTAACGAGGCTTAATTGATGCACGACTTCTAGTCTGTATTTTACTTGTATACAAAACATCTGTTATAGTTTTCTTTTTCTACTTGGTTAGTATTAAATATATCTTACTTTGCAGCACTCAGGTGACTGATAGGCAGACTATAGTTGATGATTTCAATAACGACACTTCTATATTTGCATGCTTGTTGTCCACAAGAGCTGGAGGGCAGGGTTTGAATTTAACAGGAGCTGATACCGTAGTTATTCATGACATGGATTTTAATCCACAGATAGACCGACAGGCTGAAGATCGCTGCCATCGAATTGGCCAAACAAGGCCAGTCACTATATACAGGTGCTTGAGAACATCCTTCTTTCTCTTTTCTTTTTCTTCTCTCGTCTCGTTTCTTCTCATCTCTAACGAAGTTATAGTTCATGCGTAAGTGAATGTATGATCAAATCATTTGCAGGTTGGTTACAAAAGATACAGTTGACGAGAACGTTTATGAGATTGCAAAAAGGAAGTTGACTCTTGATGCTGCGGTTCTAGAGTGTGGAATGGATGTAGGCAACGAAGATGACACATCCCAGAAAACGATGGGACAGATACTATCCTCCCTACTTATGAGCTAGAACAACAAAGACTGTCATCAACTTTTGAGTTTTTATACTTTTGCTGATTCTTTATGGTTGTATCACTTATCTTGATCTATTTTGGTTACAAATTGCTAGGGATTGTCCTGTATGGGTCATAATTCACCCCACAATCAAATAGAATATAAATGAGTTAAGCTATTAGAGGAAGGGTTTGGTGCCTTTTGGTACCTATACAACTTATTTTTTGGCCTAGTGAACATCAGTAGCATTAGTTTAAAATGAAAAAATTCAAGAGATTGATGATTAAATTTTATGGTATAATATAAGATGGTACGTCAATAAAGAATATGCTTAATAGGTTCTGTGTAGATGTTAATATATATTTGTCCTTTTGGGGTTTGGAGTTAATGGTCCACGAAAACCTAAGTTACTTCCAAATGTCACATTGCCTGGCGTGCAACAAGGCACCCAAATCACACACATATATCTTTCTCGAGTTAAAAAAAATTATATCTTTCTCGAAAGTCAATTTGTCTAAAAAAGTATTTTTAAGGGAAATTATTTGTCAAAATGTCGATAATTATGTAACATACTTGTCGCGGCCGTCTTTCGGTTGTATTCCGGAATTGGGCTTCGACTTGAAATGATTGGGTTAGAGTCGTCACGGACCATTTTAAAACGAATTTAGGTGGGTCGGACACCATCTTACTTGATCCGCGTTGTACCAGAAATGTGTCGGGTTCGAGAGTCGGTTACGGTCAAGGAAGGATTAGCACCCTTGAACCGCCATTTCGGTACCAATTAATTTGTCGGTTGTCTTTAATTACGAAAATAAAAATTTAAAATACCCGATTCAAATTACTTACCTTTGATCGATTGAAATTTTTCTAAAAAAGTCAAAAATGTTAGATAAAAAACAATACATAAATATTAAATAAATCAAAGAAAAAAGTAATAATAATAAAGCAAAAGGGGAAAAAATAAAATAAAATAAAATAAATCAAAGGAAAATAAAATAAAATAAATCAAAGGAAAATAAAATAAAAATATATCAAATAAATCAAAGGGAAAAATGTAAAAATAAACATAAAAAATAAAAAAAAGATAAATAATAAAAAAATATAAAGGAAAATAAATCAAATAGAAAAATGAAATAAAATAATAAAAAATAATAAAAAATAATAAATGAATCAAAGGAAAAAATGAATATTTAAAAATAATTAAGGGACCAAAATAAAATAAAATAAATATAAAGGAGTAATATGAAATAAAAATAAATTGATGAATCACAAGGTTACAAAAGGTTGCACCTTTCACGTGTAATTATCCTATATTTCTCCATTGAACATTTCCACTAAGGCCAAAGCATTTTCACGCGTTTAGGTTTAATTAAAACCTAATTCTATATAGAATCCATATTTCCTTGCGCCGTTCTCTACTTCCCATCTCCCTTCTTTTCTCTCTTCTCAGATACAAACACAAAAAACCCACACAAAAACTTCACAAACACTTACCCAGAAAACGTTACCTTTGGTGACCTTTCCCTTTTCCGGTGGTTTCTTCAACGAGATGCACTCCGAGCCTTCGCCTTTGGACGCTGTTATCTTCGGCTTGGCTTGTTTTCAACGTGTTTTTTGTGTTTATTATTTTGTTGTTGTGTGTTGTTACTCAGATCTGCTCGATCCTTGGTTATTTTTCCTGTGGCCTGACGTTGTGTTTTTTGGTTGATCTGTGGTGTTTTGATGGTTCTGTGGTTGGCGTTTGGTTCGATGATGTTCTCGATTTGTCTGTGTGGTTTTGTTGTAGTGATGTTCTTGGTTTACTATGATGTTCGATCTGTTGGGTTCTCTTGATGATGTACGGTGTACCCCCTTCATCGATGGTTCTCCGGGGTATTTATAAAGCCCCGTTGGGGGCTGTTTCCGGCTATTTATGGGGTGATCCCAAATATTCCGGGGTCATTTGTTGTGGACCGATGTGAGCCTCGTTCTTCGCCGGCCGTTTCACCGGCCACTCCCTGTTTGACCGATCATGTGCGTGGTCTCCACGTTTGTCCCATGCGGCGCCACTGCCTAGTGTTTTGTGAGAACCCTAAAGGGGTTCGGGTTAATTCAAGCCCACCCAGTCCGGGCCTGCTGGATCAGGCTGGACGGTTGGGTTCACTGCTGGACCTTTATTCGAACCTGGACTGAAAAAAAAGAAACAAAAGTAAAAAAGAATTAATAAATAATAATAATAATAATAATAATAATAATAAAAGTAATAGTATTAATATATATTCTAAAATATATAATATATATGTTTCAAAAATATTTTTTTAAAAATTATATATTATATTAAAAAAATTCCAAAACTATATATTGTATAGTTTTCAAAAATTATTTTAAAAATATTATATAAGTTTTTCAAAAAAATGTTTTTAAAATTATATATTATATAATTTTTCAAAAAATGTTTTTAAAACTATATATTATATAATTTTTCAAAAATGTTTTTAAAACTATATATTATATAATTTTTCAAAAATGTTTTTAAAACTATATATTATATAATTTTTCAAAAATGTTTTTAAAACTATATATTATATAATTTTTTAAAAATATTTTTAAAACTATATATTATATAATTTTTCACAAATGTTTTAAAAACCATATACTATATAAGTTTTCAAATTGTTTCAAAAACTATATAATATATAAATGTTTTCAAAACTATATATTATATATATTTAAAAATATTTTCAAAAACTATATAACATATAAATTTTCAAAAATCATTTTTTGAAAATTATATATTATATTTTGTCAAACTTTTTCACAAACCATATTACTATATACTTATATGTATATATATAATCAAATAAAAAATATATAAAAAACAAAATAACTCCGGGCGAAAATGCGTGTATACAGCTGCCCCTCTTTGTTCTTTTTCGTGGAACGAAAAATAGGACAAAGATAAAAAGACATAGATTTTCGTCCGGTGGAGTTGAAGATTAAATAGAATAACTCCTTGTCGAATTGGATTGCGGATGGCTATTCCGTCGCGAAGTCGAGTCCATCTTGAAATGATATGGAATTAAAACCGTAGTTCGAGATTTGAATCGGGATGCGGCTTCTTGTTGCCCAATTGTAGTCAACCTCGGTCTTCTCCTCGGTTTAAAGACCTTGGTTAAAAATCTGACTAGAAAGTAATTCTTTAATTCAACTATGTGGTTGACAGGCCCTCGAGCTGAATGAAATCGAACTCGAAAGGTCTTCGTTGACAGATAGCTTTTCTCGACTTAAGCTATGCTGTCGGAAAGTGGTTTTTGGTCACCATGGCACGGTTAACCCAAGTCTTCTTCTCGACTTGAAAACCTTGATTGTAGCCGGACAGTAGTGTGATTGAGGTGTCATCGAGCTGAATGGAATCGAACTCGACTAATTTGTTGACAGATATCCCTTCTTGCCTTGAGCTATTCTATAAATTTGGTTTACCTCTGAGCTGAGTGTAATCGAACTCGAAGGTCTTCGGTTGGCAGATAACCCTCATCGACTTAAGCTATGCTGTAAATGATGTGCCTTGGAGCTGAGCGTAGTTGAACTCGAAGGTCTTTGGTTGACAGATAGCCCTTCTCGACTTAAGCTATGCTGCAAATGATGTGTCTTGGAGTTGAGCGTAGTCGAACTCGAAGGTATTTGGTTGGCAGATAACCCTTCTCGACTTAAGTTATGCTACAAATGATATGCCTTGGAGCTGAGCGTAGTCGAACTCGAAGGTCTTTTGGAGACAGATAACCCTTCTAGCCTTGAGTTATGCTATAAATGATGTGCCCTCGAAGCTGAGTGTAATCGAACTTGAGGGTCTTTGGCAGGTAACCCTTCTCGACTTAAGTTATGCTGCAAATGATGTGCCTTGGAGCTGAGCGTAGTCGAACTCGAAGGTCTTTGGTTACAGATAACCCTTATAGCCTTGAGTTATGCTGTAAATGATGTACCCTCGAAGCTAAGTGTAATCGAACTCAAGGGTCTTCGGCAGATATCCCTTCTCGACTTAAGCTATGCTGCAAATAATGTGCCTTGGAGCTGAGCGTAGTCGAACTCGAAGGTCTTTATTGGCATATAACCCTTCTAGCCTTGAGTTACGCTGCAAATGTTGTCTTTAAAAAAATGCCTTCCCTTCACAGGTCTAAGCCGATCCTAGTTCTTCAGGTGGTTCCTTTGAGCGAGTCTGAACCAAATGAGATGATCTTTGAATGACTCCCCTTTTACGGAAAGCCCACTAATAAATTCTAACAGCCGGATATCTTCCGTTGTGGAATTGAAATCTGGCTTGAAGACATTAACTGGAAACATGCTGTTCATTGTTGAGTTGAGCTGAACTGGATTTGATCTACATTGGTTCTCGAACCTATCTGAAATTGGTTCTAAGATATGTAGATATGTAAAGTCGGTTGAGGTGTAGCTTCTCACTACTGAGTTAAGCAACAACTATCGTTCTTTAAAGGCGATTGCGAATCGAGTATCCTTCATCCTGAAGTCGAAACTTGACTCTAAAAGCTACAAAAATCTTGTATGCTAAAATGATGAATGTGATGCACCTAGGTATGTCTAAGATACATGCAACATGAATGAATTATGTTTTATCTCTTGGACTGGAGTCCCGTGTTTCGTCTGTCAATCTGGTCCCTGAAATCGATCGTGCCCCATCCTTTTTTCAAGCTTGGGCTTTACAGACCCTTCATATCTAAGACTGTTCTGTTTGAAAATGTTTTTCTCCTTTTTTTTTGTTTTAGGAGGGAAAATGATAAAAATGCTGTAAAATATTGTTCACAATTGAATCAAATTGTAAACGTGAGTTCAAAGAATATCAAAGGAATCAAGAGCTCTTTTGATGCTTTCAGAGTCACAGCTCTTTGAAAAATGTTCAAATGGATGAGTTGGCTTTAGGTTGGCCTCCTTTTCTAAGGTTTCGGTAACCCAAAATGTCATTTTTTTGAAATATCACAATATGCTTTGGTATTTCAATTGGGTGCAGACAAAATGACGCAACTAGCATGATCGATTACTAGACCTTTTATTTCGGTTCTCTGAAATCTTCCATTTGTTCAAGCTTTGTCGGCTCCTCTAACAAAGACAGTGCAAAAAATA